CAAATGGGCCTCCTCAGTATCGGGGGAACACTTCTGAGCTAGCTGACTCATTATCTCATAGCCTGAAGTGCCCAGAATAGACTGGTGTGTCCGACAGGAGGACCCAGACCCTCCCCTCAATTCCTTTCTTCTCTCAACTGGCTAGTTCCAGGAGGCCTAGCAGCTGGGAGTCTGGGTAGCTTGGTTAAAGATGGGCTGCAATTCACCACAAAAACTTGCTTGCCAGAGTCCTCAAACTGGCCAACACTGACTCCACAGCCCTTTCTGTGGAGTTAACCGTTAGGACTGGCAATCATCACTCTACTTGCATCTAGAGGTTTGCGCCAACCTTGGCTATTCATTATATCTTCCCAATACAGGTGCTTGAAGGAAATTTCTTCCTAGTTTCAGTACCAGAAGCTGATAGAAACCTCCTGAACAGTTTTTAAAACTTATGGCCATTAGAAATCATGTAAGGTATTGTATTTTGCTCTTTGCATTGGTCACGAGGATGCTCAGGGCCAAATTTGCATACCAGATCTTTGGGACATGAGTTGTGATAATTGTCGTACCTGAATTTTACTCTTGTTTTTCCTATACTTTGCTTTTGTCACTTTTTTTTTTTCCCTGCCTCTAATCCTTATTGGAATAGTACATAAGTAAGTCAAATAAATTACTATTCTTTTAACCTGCTGGTGTGGAGTCAATTCTGATTCACAGCAACACAAAAGGACAGAGTAAACTGCCCACACAGAGTTTCTAAGACTACAATCTTTATGGAAGAAGATAGCCACATCTTTCTTCCACAGAGCAGCTGATGGGTTCAAACCACCAACTTTTCAGTTAGCAGCCAAGTGCTTAAGCGCTGTACCACCAAGACTCCCTCTCCCAACTACTACAATAACAATAATAATATGCAGTGGTGAAGACTGTGAATTCTTTGAGAACATGTTCACCTTTGTAGTGCCAGTACCTTGAACAGGATCTGTCACACAGTAAGTACCCAGCCCAGGGCCTGGTATGTAGTAGATGTTCAATTAATAGTCCAGCCCTTTCTATTAACTATGGCATGAACCATAAGCCTGCACTTACCTAAAAATTAATTTAATAAGGATGTTGTTAGCCACCACCATCAAAGAAGATAAAAAAAGCCTTGGGCTGCTCCATGAGCGTACATGTAGACATTTGATTGCCTGTTACTGGGTTTAGTGGGTTGCAGGTTCCACAGGGAAGACAGGCGCTTGTCTAGTTACACACTGAAATGAGAGCCTCAATTACACCAAGGGGCTGGGTCTAGAATCCCTCCCACTGCCCTGCAGAGCCATTACACATGGTGGGCCTCATGGGGCCTATCCTACTCGCTATCCCTACCAGCTGTGGTATGTCTTACAGGCCTTAACAGGTCTTATCAACAGCCTTCCGTGCCCAGAGAGAATCTGGATGGCAGCAAGGAGGTTTCACAGCTAATTGGGACACCTGCCAGTCAGTGACAAGCCACCTAAGTTAGCCAGGGAGCCAGGTGCCCCTGGAATCTTCTAAGGCAATGGAAGGGACTTGCAGGGCCAGCTGGTGGGACTTTGCAATGGAAAGCCAAAGAGTCACATTGAGAAACACCCTGACAATCCACAAACCAGCACAACCACCACTGGTCTCTTCAGCAAACCCACTGCCTGGGTTCAGACCCCAGCTTTGCTACTTTCCAGCTTTGTGACCTCACCTTCCAGGGCCTCAACATCCTCATCTGTAAGTGGAAATGATAAGTACAGAACCAACAACAATCACCTCACAGGCATGCGAAAGCTGGGCAATGAAGGAAGACTCAAGAATCGATGCCTTTGAGTTATGGTGTTGGTGAACAATGTTGAATATACCATGAACTGCCAAAAGAATAAACAAATCTGTCATGGAGCCAGTACGGCCAGAACAGTCCTTAGAACAAGGAGTTCATCTCACAGACTTTGATCGTGGTACGAGGAGGGAGCAGTTCCTGAAGGACACCATGCTTGGTGGAGTAGAGGGTCAACAAAGAACACAACTACCCTCAATGGAATGGACGGACACATGGCTGCAACAATGGTCTCCAACACGGTACAATGGTGAGGATGATGCAGGACCAGGCAGTGTTTCATTCTGTTGTGTGTAATAAGGTCACTATGAGTCAGAACTGGCAACAACAGAGCATCATTGTGAAGATAAATAAGTGAACACATGTACCCAGAAGCAGGAGGGTTAGGGGGCATCAGAAATATCGGCGAGCAGCACGGAGGTCTACCCTGGATGAGAAACCACGATACCATCTAGTTCACTGAAAAGGTCTGTTGATGGTCTGCTCACCTTGAGCACAGCTGGAAGCTCTGGAGAAGGCTCCCTGAAGTCTGGATGGCAGAGGGTCCTGCACATGAGGATGGTAGTCTGGGCTACTAGGCATGAGCTTCTTAATGAAAACGCTAAAAGCCATTGCTCCTGCAGTAGCACCTGAGAGTAAAGTAATCAGGAAGCGGGGGCCCAGGCCAGTGGCGTCACCTGGTACTTCACTGCTTTTCCAGGCTGGGACACAACAGTGCTCTGTCCTTCCTGTCTTCCCTCCTCCTCTTTCCTCACCTCCTTCCCTCTCCCGTCCCCTTCCTTTCTCTCTTCCCTCCCTCTCCTCTCTTTCCCTTCCTCCCTCCCTTGTTATGGAGTCAACTCTATCCTCACAACATGTGTGTTGGAATCCAAACCCCCACATCCACGGATGCAATGCAGCATAATCACATTCCATGATGTAATCAAATGTTATGCTGACAAGACGTGGAAAAAAGGTGCCTCATAAAATGGAGCAACCAAAATATATGTGATCAAAATTGCAGGAGAAGCTTGTACAAAATGAATTCGCCTGGGATGGAATGGGACGTTTTGTGGTTTTAGTAGTTTTGTAATAAACAGTTTTTAATCAAAACGGAATCAGGCATTTGGAGATTCCTGAAGCCGTCCTAGAAGGCACAGCCCTTGCCAGCCCCCCACCCGGGCTTGCTTAAATCCAGAATCCAAAGCCCTGTACCATCTGCTCCCTGCCCTCTCCTCCAGCTCTAGCTCTGGCCGCTCTCCCACACCTCTTTTTCACTCCAGATTTTTAAAGATACCTGTTGCTCTCTAGACGGGCCATCTTTAGATTCACCTGCTTGCATGTACTCCTGCTGTTCTGTCCACTGGTATGCCACTTCCCCCTTGTCCTACTGGTAAATTTGGTTTAGTTCAAATATCACCTCTTCCAGAAAGTCTCCCTAGATTTCTCTGAGTTCCTGTAGCCATTGGCACATTGTGCTGAGAGTGTACTTTTATGCTTTTTCCACTGGAATGTGAACTCTCTGAAGGCACATGCCTTTTCTTACGCCTCTGTGTAGCCCAGCACCCTGCACTGACATCTGGAATAGCAGGTTCTCAGTAAATGTTGCAAAATAAATAAATGAATGAATGAATGAATGAATGAAAGTCACCAGTTGGTTGCCACCTGTACAGAACAATTTGAAAAATGCTGGGAAAGGCCCACCTCATACCTCCCAGCATTCTCCCAATGGACATTTACAAGAGTCGTCTGCTGGAATGAAAATGCCCTTAGTAACACCTTCGCATTGCTGAGCCCATCACCAGGGAGGGACTAATCATATTACAGTCTGGACACGACAGCTGGCTGAGAATATTCCAATCCAAAATTGAGCCCCAGAGTGTGTTCAGGAGAGGGGAAGACGCAACTCTGAAAGTGGGAAAGGAGATACTGTTCCTCTAAGAAAATGCCCACCAGGCTGTATTAGGCACCCTGATACCAAGCCCAGAGGCCTCTCTGCCCCATCAATCTGTGTTGTCAGTGAGGATTCATGTCTCTTTCTTCCTCACTAGACTGTGAACTCTGAGAGACCCAGTGTCTTGTTCATCACTGTATCCACAACAGTCAACACAATGGCGAGCACACAGGGGCTGCTCATTAGGAATCTGAACACATGAAACTGAATTCCATAACCCACATGCACATCTGCGAGAGGTGGAAGTGGTTCAATACAGTGCCTGACAGCATCTCAGATAGCCAGATGGGTGGATGGGTGGACAGAGAAAGACATGTACACACCTCTGGCCTCCCTCTTTCCCCATCATAGTGCTGCCAAATGCAACACCAAGATGAAGATTAGCAAAGGGGAGAGAGGTGTGTAGACCATCGAGGCACAGGATGTCATCAAACCAGAATCAAGACATCTGATTAGGACACAGTGGTTGAGTTGGCAAGAAAAAGACAATCAGGATAATAACAAAGTGCCAACCTATGAGACTTGGCAAGCAACCACCTACACACTATTGCTTAGTCATCTGAGCTGTGCTTACAAATGTTAGCATTCAGGCAAATTGAAGAGAAGGCAGCCTTGGCCAGGAACCTGGGCTTCACAGTACCTGTTCCTCCATCATACATTATGGATGAGCTCCTCTTCAATGTCAGGCACCTTGCTGATGCCCTTACTTGCATTAAGTGAATCATTATTTGTTAGGACCCAGCAGAGGTATGCCTATTTGACACAAAGCAGGCACTCAATCAATAATTAGTGAATGGAGGAGTCATCGAGACCTATGGTTGTTGTTGTTGATATGTGCCGTCAAGTTGGCCCGACTCATAGCGACCATCAAGACCTGTTGCTGTGTGCCCTGGAGTCGGACCCGACTCATGGTGACCCCTCCTTGGGTTCCCGAGGCAGTATCACTACAGAAGTGGATTGCCCAACCTTCCTTCCGAGGAGTGGCTGGTGGGTTTGAACCTCCAGCCTTCTGGTTAGCAGTCAAGTGCTTTAGGCACTATGCTGACTTGTCCAAGGTCATTGATAAGAGCTTGGTCCAGAACTCAAGGACAGGCCAGACTATTCCAGAATTGTAAAGCTGGGAGGGATCTCCCCCTGCATGCATGAGGGTGCCCCTTAGAGGTTATAGTTCCATGTCACTAGGACTCAGTCTTAATAGTCAACTGTCCCTTTTAAAAATTCTTCCTCCATCTCTCTGCCTAGGTTCTTGATTCAGGCAGTGAAAGCAGGCCGTGGGTACTTTGCCATACTGAAGGAGGAGAGCGCGATGAAAAAGAGGCAGCAGCAACTACAGAAACTGCAAGAGGAAGAAAGGAATAAATTCCAGCCAGCCAAAAAGATCTCAGAAATCCATTTTGGCGACACTGGTTTGATGTAAGTGGATGTGGTGGCTCTGGCATTAACGGGGTCTTGGGAAAGGCCACTGGGAGTGAACACTGCCTGGTGGGTTGAATAGTACTTTGACTACACACATTCGTCCTCACGTTTCACAGAGTAAGCACTACACAAGACTTCTTGCGGGTCCCAAATGAGGCTCCTTCCCTGCCCTTCCTTGACTTGTCCTTACCTCTTGACTCTTCTTGTGCTGTTCCTTGGGTCTGAAACACCCTTCCCCACATCCTCTACCAACTAAAGTTCTACTTAGCATTCAAAGCCCAGGACAAATGCTGTCCTCTCCGGAGACTTCCCAGATTTCAGCCCAACCACTTCCAGCACCCACTTGGGCTCTGGGTTCTGAAAACGTGTGTTTGTGTGCTACGCCACTTCTTCTACCTCGGCATCCCTGCTCTAGATCTTCAGCTGCATCTCCAGGTCCAAGCTCAACGTCCACAAAGTGGGTGCACAAAAAACCCTGTATGTTTGTTAGTTAAATAAAGCAGCCTCATCTCTTTGTAGAGGACTTTTCTCTAATTAGGGCAGGACCATCAATAGACCAGTCCATCACGAAACGTCCATTAATAATAATAACAATAACAATAATGACAATGAGTGTTTTCTCTGTGTTTCATGCCCATCTTTCCATCTAAACTCAAAACACACCTAAGAGATGTTGTTGTTGTTGTTGTTGTTGTTATGTGCCGTCGAGTCGGTCCTGCCTCATAGTGACCCCTCCTTGGGTTTCCGAGGCAGTATCACTACGGAAGTAGATTGCCCAACCTTCCTTCTGAGGAGTGGCTGGTGGGTTTGAACTGCCAGCCTTCTGGTTAGCAGTTAAATACCTTAGGCACTACACTCCCAGAGCGCCTCACCTAAGAGATAGGTACTATTATTACCCATTTTAGAGATGTAGGAATGAGGCTTAGACATGTTAACTAATTTCTCCCAAGGCCTTAAATTAGAAAACTTTACTGAGTCTCAAGCTCCCTTTTGTTTGACACCCAAAACCACAGATGGCACCATTCTGCATGGACAAAATCCTTGGGTACTTAGCTATTGCAGACTGGATGAGGCACAGCTTAGGAATGGGAAAGAGATGCGGAAACAAGCAGAGAAGTAATACATGGTAGAAACACCCTGCAGCTGTACCACTGGCCTGGGAGAGCAGCACTTGAACCCTGGCTACACAGTAGAATGAGCTGGGGAACTTGTTTTAGAATACCGACACCCAGGCTGTCCCCACATCAATGTCATCAGCCACTCTCGGAGTGTTACCTGGACATGATATTTTTTAAAGTTTCCCTAGCTCTGGTAGCATAGTGCCTAAGGCACTTGACTGTTAACCAGAAGGCTGGTGGTTCAAACCCACCAGCCACTCCTCGGAAGGAAGATGGGGCAATCTACTTCCGTAGTGATACTGCCTCGGAAACCCAAGGAGGGGTCACTATGAGTCGGGGCCGACTCGACGGCACATAACAACAACAACAAGTGATTCCAATGTGAAGCCCACATTGAAAGCCACTGTGTAAGGGCTACTTTAAAATATATATAACCTCACTGCCACCAAGCTGATTCTGACTCTTAGGAACCTCCATGAGGTTTCTGAGGTGGTAAATCTTTACAGAAGTAGGCTGCCCCATCTTCCTTCTGGGGTGCAGCTGGTGGGTTTGAACCCAACCTTCTGGTTAGCAGTCAAATGCCTTAGGCACTGTGCCACCAGATCTTCTTAGGGTTACCTTTAGGAACCCAAACTGCCGGACTATTTGCTAGAGGAAATGGAAGCTGTAGCAGACATCCCCTTTCATCTGCACCTTTCTCAAACTTCGTTCTTCAGAAGGTCAATTTAAAGAAACAGTAACATGTGTGCCTTAAAAACAAGGATCCTGCAGTCACTGTGGAAAAGGACTCGGTGGTTCCTCAAAAAGTTCAACACAGAATTGTAAAACGATCCGGTAATTCACTCCTGGGTGCATTCTCCAAACACTTGACAGCAGGAACTCCGACAGAGACTTGCAGCTCTATTCACAGCAGCCGAAAGATGGAAACGGCCCAAGTGTCATCGGCAGATGAATGGATAAATAAACGGGGCTATATGCGTGAAATGGATTATTATTCAGCCATAAAGAGAAAGCGGAAGAAAGATGAGGCAGTCTGTACCCATAGACATCTACAGCCTTGGAAACCCTGTGGGGCAGTTCTGCTTTGTCTGGTAGGGTCACTAGGAGTCAGAATTGACTTGATGGCAGTGGGTTTTTTACATAAAGAGAAATGCAGCTCTGATACACTGATACATGGATGAACCCTGACATTACGCTGAGTGAAAAACACACAATACATAGGAGAGACCCAGAAGAACCCCACATACTGGAAACACCCTGAATAAGCAAATGCATACAGACTAAACCAGACTTGTTTACCGGGGGCTGGAGATAGGGGAAAACATGCAGTTACTGCTTCAGGAGGCAATATGATGGACCACTACCCATAGTCCTGTACCTCCCACCACAAGACTGGGTGGGACCACACAAATGAAGTGCTCGTGGCCCACCAAAGGGATTGGGCAGCTTGCTGATAATACAAATAAGGCCACGGTATCCTGGTCATGACAAATTATGGATAACATTGAGAAGAATGGGAATCCCCGAGCACTTGATTGTACTCATGAGGAATCTGTACCTTGACCAGGAGGCTGTCGTTCGAACAGAACAAGGGGACACTACATGGTTTAAAATCAAGA